CTTTCTACACAAAGCCTAACTAGAATTTTAATTGGATTTGCATTGAATTTATAGGTCAGTTTGGTGAGGATTGACATTTTACCTATGTTGAGTCTTCTATCCATGAATACAGTATATTTCTTCACTTATTTAGGTTTTATTTACTTCTGTTAGCAGTGTTTTGTAGTCTTCACTGCACAAGTCTTGCATATGTTTTGTCAAAGTTATCCCTAACCATTTCATATTTTTTGTTGTTATTGTGTTTTTTTTTTTTAAGTTTGATTTCCAGTTGTTCATTGCTGGTAATTAGAAATACAACTGAGTTTTTGTATATTAACTTCATTTCAGCAACCTTTCCACTCATTTATCTATATAATTGATCATATTGCTTGTGGATAAAGATGATTTTATTTCTTCCTTTCTAATCTGTATGCTTTTTTTTCTTGATTGCTTTACTAGAACTTAAAGTACACTGTTGAATAGAAGGAGCCGTGGTGGCGCAGTGGTTAAGAGCTATGGTGAACTACGGCTGCTAATCAAAAGGCTGGCAGTTGGGATCCACCAGCTGGTCCTTGGAAATGCCGTGGGGCAGTTCTACTCTGTCCTATAGGGTCACTGTGAGTCGGAATTGACTCGATGGCAGTGGGTTTGTTTATTTTTGTTTGTTGAATAGAAATGATGAAAGTGAACATCCTTGCCTTGTTACTCATCTTTGGGTGGAAGCATTTAGCCTTTCACCACTTAATATGTTGTTAGTTGTAGGTTTTCGTAGATTCGCTTTAGCAGTCTGAGAAAGTTTCCCTTCTGTTCTTGGATTGCTGAGAGTTTTTAGCAGAATGTGTGTTGGAGTTTGCCAAATGCTTTTTTGCATCTATTGAAATGATCGTAGTTTTTCTTTTTTAGTCTGTTAATATGGTGAATTATATTCAATGATCTTTGAATATTAAATCAATCTTGCATTCCTGAGATGAATTACACTTGGTTCATGATGTATTGTCGTTTGTATATATTGTTGTTATGTATTTTTGTTATATGTCAGTGTTAAGAATTTTTATATTTATGTTCATGAGGGATATTTGCTTGTAGCTTTCTTGCAATGTTTTTGTCAGATTTTATGTGTCATAAGAATTTTTTTCATAGAATAGATTTTCTGATAGAAGAGAATTTTTTGGGAAGAATTAGCATAGCATGTTTTTTTTTCCTTCCTTAAGTGTTTGGTAGAATTCAACAGTGAAGATATTTGGGCTGGAATTTTCCTTGTGGAAGGTGTTTTTCTTCTTTGGGGGGAGGTGACTTTTTCTGACTCTTGTTAAAAGTTGAAATAATCGTACAGTGAACATTCATATGCTCACCCCATCTATATTTTACTCTATTTGCTTTATCACATAACTATCTACTTATCCACCCTCTATCCATGCATCAATCCTTTTATTGTTGATGCATTTCAAAATAATTTATGGACAATGGTACACTTCACTTCTAAGAACTTTACCATGCATAGAATTTTCTAGAGTTTTTTTTTTTTTCAGTTATTTTTTTATTTCTCAAGGCAAAATTTAAATACAAATCCCAGGTGTATCATTCAGTGAATTTTGACAAATGCATACAGTTGTGTAACCAAAGCCCCTTTTAGGATATAGATCATTATCATCACCCAGAAAATTCTCCCATGTCTTTCTCAGATAGTCCCCACCCACACCCCCAGAGGCAATTACTGTTCTAGTTTTCTTCCATAGATTAGTTTTGCTGGTTCTGTAGCTTCAGATAAATGGAATCATATTTTGTGTGTGTGTGTATGTGTGTGTGTATGTGTGTGTCTTCTTTAACTTGGCATAAAATTTTTTGGGATTCATTAAATTGTTGCCGGTGTCAGTAGTTCTTTCCTTTTAATACTTTGTGGTGTAACTAAATTTTGTTGAGGTCAGATAACATGTTCTGTATGATGCCATACTCTTGATTTATGCCTTACTGTATGGACAGTTTTCATAAATGTTGTTAGTGTTCCAGAAAGGCATGAGTAGTCCCTTTTTGTTGGTTTTATGTTTCTGTAACTGTCCTTTCAGTCAACCTAGTTAGTCATGTTGTTTCTCCTTAATTCTTTCTAAAGTCTGTTCATATCTGTACTGTTGTTCTTCACATTTTAAAGTTATTTTAAAATTTGTATGTAATAAAACTTATTCCCTGTGGTATGCAGCTTTATGTTTTGACAGATGTATACACCTGAATAGCCACACCATAATCTAGATGCACATGAGTTCCATCAACCTCCAGATACTCTCATTTTGCTCCGTCATTAAGCAATCTCTTCTCTCACTCCTTAGCACTGAAAATCTCTGGTTTGCTTTCCCTCTCTACAGTTTTGCTTTTCCTGAATGTCATATAAATGAAATCATACATACAGTTTGTAGCTCATTGAATATGGCTTATTTCACTTAGCAAAATACGTTTGAGATTCATTCAAGCTTTTGCATGTATTAATAGTTTCTTCCTTTTTATGACTGAGTTGTATTCCATTGTATGTATATACCATACTTTGTTTCTATATTTATTGGCTGAAGGACATTTGGGCTGTTTCCAGTTTTAGGCAGTTATAAATGAAATTGCTATAAACGTTTACAAACAGGTTTTTATGTGAACCTAAGTTTTCATTCCTCTTGGGCAAATATCTAGAAGTGGAATTGCTAGGTCTTATGTATAACTAGCTTCTTCATATAGAAGTTGAACTATATAAAGAAGAACAGAGCATCAGGTTTGGAGGAAGACTCATTAACAACCTGCGATATGCAGATGACATAACCTTGCTTGCTGAAAGCGAAGAGGACTTGAAGCACTTACTGATGAAGATCAAAGAAAACAAAAATCTTCACAACTGGACCAATAAGCAACATCATGATAAACGGAGAAAAGATTGAAGTTGTCAAGGATTTCATTTTACTTGGATTCACAGTCAACACCCATGGAAGCAGCAGTCAAGAAATCAAATGACACATTGCACTGGGCAAATCTGCAGCAAAAGACCTCTTTCAGGTATTAAAAAGCAAAGCTATCACTTTGAGGACTAACATGTACCTGACCCAAGCCATGTTATTTTCAGTTGCCTCATATGCATGTAAAAGCTGGACAGTGGATAAGGAAGACCGAAGAAGAATTGACACCTTTGAATTATGGTGTTGGTGAAGAATATTGAATATACCATGGATTTCCAGAAGAACAAACAAATCCGTCTTGGAAGAAGTACAGCCAGGATGCTCCTTAGAAGCGAGGATGGCGAGACTTCATCCCACGTGCTTTGGACATGTTATCAGGAGGGACCAGTCCCTGGAGAAGGACATCATGCTTGGTAAAGTAGAGGGTCAGAGAAAAAGAAAACCCTCAGTGAGAAGAATTGACACAGTGGCTGCAAAGATGGTCTCAAGCATAGCAATGACTGTGAGGATGGCGTGGGACCGGGCAGTGTTTTGTTCTATTGTACATAGGGTCACTATGAGTTGGAACATGCTCGACAGTACCTAATGACAATAGCATGTAAATATAGGTTTAATTTTATGAGATGTGGGAGGTCTTTTATCACAAATTATATTTTTTAAAAGAATTCTATTCAGGTTATCAATTTCTTCTCGAGTGAGCTTTGGTAGTTTGTGTCTTTCAAAGAAATTTTCCGTTTCATCTGTCAAATTTATTGGTATAAAATTGTTACCCCAGATCCCCAGTTATCCTTTGAATATCTGGAGAATTTTCAGTGAAGTCACTCCTCTCTTTCTTGATATCAGAGATTTTGTCTTCTTTCCTTTCTTCCTGATCATTTTGGCTAGAGGTTTAGCAGTTTCATAAATCTTCTCAAAGAATGAGCTTTTGGTTTCAATGATTTTTCTCTGTTGATTTTCTGTTTTCTGTTTAATTGATTTCTGTGTTCTTTTCCTTCTTCTGCTTAGTTTGAGTTTAATACTTTGGGTTTAACATAATGCAGAAAAGCAATTATGTTTTTTCTCTGAAAGTAAATTGACAGATTTTAAAACCCTGTACTAAATCTAGATACGTGTGTATGTTTACGTGTTTGTGTATTTGGTGTTTAGGGGAGATACAAGACTTTGGAAACCCTGGTGGCATAGTGGTTAAGAGCTCGGCTGCTAACCAAAAGGTCAGCAGTTCGAATCCACCGGCCACTCCTTGGAAAGAAACCCTCTGGGGCAGTTCTACTCTGTCCTATAGGGTTGCCAGGAGTCAGAATCAACTGGACGGCAAGGTGTTTTTTTTTTTTTTTTTTAGATAAGACTTTTCTAATAGCAAAATTTCAGAGAAAATTAAATTGTAGTATTGAAGTTAGTAGCAAGACACAGGATTTAAAAAAAAAAATTTGTTTGCCTGTTCATCTAACATCTGTTTCAAACTCTGAATGAAGTACGTTTGTAAATTATGAAAGTACTTGGAATTCCCGTGAAAAGTTTTGTAAAATTGACATCACACAGAGCTTTCTGAATTAATTATGTGTCATCATTTAAGTGGGGCAAAATTTTGTCCTGAGGAATAAAACTTTATTCTTGTCTTTAACCTAAATAATGACTATTTGAATTAAAAATATAAAACATTTAAATCCCCAGTTTCCAAATGAGTAGCCTGTAACTAAGGTATAAGGCAGTTCTACAGTTGTTTTCACTTGGTGTACTTTGATATATTAGAGCAAGAACCTTCTGTAGTGGATGGAATGGAATTTGTCAAAAGCCTGAATTATAATTGAGGAAATAGGCCACTCTGTTATTTGAGTAGTCTATTTAAATTTTAAAGCAGATTTTTTTTTCTATAAATAGAAGCAGTTTTATTTTTGAGGCAGTTGAAATTGGCTTAACAATTAATTTCAAGTTCTTTTAAAATCATTTCTTATGTAGTCTTGAATAAGAAGTATAGGTGTTTAAATTAGAATTGAAGTGTTGATGTAGGGATGTGGTATTTACAGAACTAGTACATGGAAGATTATGTTATTTGTTTACTTTTGTAATTGTTTAATGTTGTATTTTATCTTTTAGATCCTGTTTGATCAGACTCAGAGATCAATTAAAGCACAGCTTCAGAACTTTGTTAAAGAGTAAGTCAATTGCAGTGAAGAGAAAGGCAGGTCAGCCAGTTAATGATCGCATCTGGTAATTGGTGTCTTTCAAAAGAGGTTATGGAACATGAATTACTGAAAATATTAGAGTTGTTTTCCTCTTTTTTTTTTTTGCTTTGCCAAATATATATTGCATTTTTTTGTGAATTATTCTATAAGGAAACAAAACTTCATGTCTTTCAGTGAATCCTTTATATCATGAAATGTGTGTACAGGATACATAGCTAGGGTTGTTGTAGGTTTTTTTTCTTTTTTAAAAATTTTAAATGTAAATTAACAGTCTAATAGCCTTTCGAAATCAAAGCAAACCCAAAAAGTGGTCGAAATACTATTGGTCACGCAGTTGAAACCAAGTTTTCCATTGTCTCAATATGATGTTTTCTTTCAAGATAAGATAATGGATTATGGAAGAAAATGAGTAATGTAAGTGCTTTGTCTTTTCACTGCATATGATCCTTTTGTGTTACATTAGTCATGTTTTATATGTGAATTAAAATGAAACTAGAAATAAAAAGTTCTAAACTTTACAAGGTAGGCATCCAAGTTTTCTTTTTCCATCTTAATTGTTCACTCTTTCTCTTTTAATTTCTGACTGAGAGTGCATAAAAATACAGATAAAGTTGCTTATGATACTATATGCAGGAGAAATTATAGACATTATAAGCAGTAAATAGTGTCAGGTATCAACATAATGCACTGCTATTTTTGATGTCCGGTAGGTGATGTCTTTCAGATTCTTTATAAATTACTTCATAATAGACTAACGCTGGTAGCAAACCTCCTCATAGAATGTTTACGTTAAAATCTATGGCTTCTTTCATAGAGTTTAAAGTCGTTCTTACGTATACTTTATTTTTTAAAAATCATTTGTCTTCAAATTATTGTGCCTAGTTCCCTGGTAGCAAAAGTAAAAGCAAAGGGATATTATGCTTTCCTCTGTAACCAGAAGCAATTTTATTTTTGAGACAGACGAAATTGGCTTAAAAATCGGTTTCAGGTTCTTTTTAAATGATTGTTTTTTTATGTAGTCTTCTGTAAGAAGACTGTGGACGCCTAAGATTAGTAAGATTACCTAAAATCATTAATGAATCAAGGATTTAAAATTTTCTGACTATTGAAATGAGTACTGTTACCCTTTACTGGTACATCAGTTCTTTGAGAAAAGCGGTATGTGTTGCGTATATTAAGGCATAAAATATTCATGCCCTTTGACCCAGTATTCCCTCCAACAAGAAGTGAATGGTTAGATTGTGCTTTGTTAAAGTGTGGTCTGTAGACCACCGATAGCAGTAGAAACAAGGGTGTGTCTTTAAAAAAAAAAAAAAAAAAGTGATTTCTAGGGTTTATCCCAAAGACTAATGAATTGTAATCTTTAGGAGAAAAGCCTTAGAATTTACATTTTAAATAAATTGCCTACTGTCATACTTATGTAAAGTACTATTTAGAAATCATTTGGTTAAACAGTGGTATATATCCCTGAATTTCTCTTTAGAAAAAAAATTAAACTTTGCTTTTTTTATGCTCCTGTAATGTTAGTTTGATAATTTATTTTCACTTCAAATTTTATAGATTTAAATCATGAAATGTTAGCTGACTGTATTGAGATTAATATATAATTGTGAAACGATATATATTTTAGTTGGAAGAACTAGTGAAGGTCAATGCAAGGTGAAACAAATGCAAGAACATAAGAATTCATTCTAAATGTTATTTTGCTAATTTTTAAAAATTTTTAAACTTTATTGTGGTAAAATATATATAACAGAAAATTTGCCATTTTAACCATTTAAGTGTACAATCCAGTGACATTGATTACATTTACAGCATTGTGCAACCATCACCACCATCTTTTTCTAAAACTTTTCTGTAACTGCAAACAGCAGTTCAGTGTCCATGAAACAATAACTCTCCATTGCCCTCTTCCCCCAGCTCCTGGTAACCACTGATGTCTTCTCTCTCTGCATTTGTCTATTGTAGATATTAATTATAAGTAGGATCATATAATATTTGTCCTTTTGTGTCTGACTTATTTTATATATATTTTGCTAAAGTTTTTGATCAAGAAGATTTTATGAAAATTTCACTAAGTTCTTATTTTTTAGAGATCTTAGAAAATTCAAAGATGCCAAGAAGCAATTTGAAAAAGTCAGTGAAGAGAAAGAAAATGCATTAGTAAAAAATGCTCAAGTACAAAGAAACAAACAGCATGAAGTCGAAGAAGCCACAAACATTCTGACAGCAACAAGAAAATGTTTTCGACATATAGCTCTTGACTACGTACTTCAGGTATACTTACTGTATGTTTTAAAAAAATGATTTCCAAACTGATTATTATTTTTGAGTGATAACACTGAAAGGAATAAATAATCATTTGAATATAAAATTAAAATGATTATTTTGTGAGAAATTTTCATCTGTGTGTGTATGTCTGCGCATGTACATACGTGTGTGTGTGTGTGTGTGTGTGTGTGTGTGTGTGTGTATTCATTTGGTTCTGATTTCGTCCTCTTTTCACTTAACATTATACTTTCCTCCATTTTAAGATGTTTTAAAAAGCATCATTTTAAAATGGTATATAATATTTATGGAGTTGCTATGTCGATTTAATTCATATTTGATTATCAGACATTTACTGGCAATAGACAAAATGTAATCTTTATTAATTGTAAACGATAAAGACATCTTTGTATACAAATGTTTTGCCACATTTCTGATTATTTCTTTAGAATAAATTCTTAGAGGTAGAGTTAGCAATTAAAATTTCATGGAGTTCTAAGGCTCACCGTATTGTCAAATGAAAAATACTTGTGGAAATAGTGTTCTTGTGTTTGCACAGGTGCTGTTTTTTTAAAATTAGTGATCTGTGTTTTTTATGTTGCTTGGTGATCTGGTCTGAATGTACAATTGAAACTAGTTTGAATATGATGGTCTCCAAAGGAATGTGAGTCACATGAAAAATGAAAGCATTATTTTTATACATTATTTTAAATGTGATGTTTATGTACGTTACGTGTTACTATATAGCATGGAGGTTTAAAGCGTAAGAGCTTTAAAGCTTAGAGAATTATCTTATTTAAATCTCCTTTTACAAAACAGTAGTGGAATTCACAGAGATTGTTGACATAGCTGTGATCACAGAGAGTTTCTTAAGAAAATACATAAGTAACCATACACAAATTAGTGATTGAAAACTACTTAGGTAACTTTGTGGAGTCCCTGGGTGTGCAGATGGTTAAATGCTGAGCTACTAACTGAAAAGGTGACTGTTTGAATCCACCCAGAGGTGCCTTGGAAGAGAGACCTGGCGATCTACTTCCAAAAAATTAGCCATTGAAAACTCTATGGAGCGTGGTTCTATTCTGACACGTGGGTTTGCTATGAGTCAGAATTAATAGCAACTGTTTTTTTTTTTTTTAAGGTAACTCTGTAAACATTAGAAAAGAACATTAAGATTTTTTAATTTTAAGTTCTTACTTAGTAAGAGGGAATTTAAATTTAAAAAATGAGGTGTACTCCATTTATGGATGAAAGACTTCTAGAATGGAGTGGTCTCTATTTCCAATCTCCTGTTACCTTCTCACATTCATACCACTTTCGACTATTCAACTGCCCTTACCCCATTCCACTGAAATGACTCATGATAAGGTCTTTTTCAAGGGACGTATTTTAGATTTTGACCAACTTGACTATTCTCTTTCGCTGAAATGGTAAACCTCACTCTCCTTCTTGAAACGTACTTTTGTCTTGATTTATCTGAAACCACTGTTTGGCCTCGTCTCTTGAATCTATTCCATTACTGTTTTGGGGTTCTCTCCATTCTCCACCTTTTCAATCTCCTTCCTTAGGATTTCATGTTGGGTCCTTTTCTTTCTTAACTTGATGGTTTTCCGGACGATCTCATCATGCGCCTTCCTTGAATTACCACCTATACATAGATGACAAAAATCTCTATTTCTCATAGAGATACCTTGAACTCATATGTCTGACACTGGAATCTGTCTTCTTCCAAAACAACTTCTCTTTCTCTTTTGCGGTTTTCTAACTTAATGACATCACCCTCTTACTCTTTCATACAAGCTGAAAATGAGAGAACTAGTCACCGAAACAGTCTTGAAGACTCCTCTAATGTACTTAAATCTTTTCTTTTCTTACCCTTGCTGTAGCCCTAATGCCAGTCTTTACTGTTTCTTGTCTGGACTATTAAGATATTGTTGTTAAATTCATCTTCTTTGCATTGTTTTTACCTGTCCCATTACCAATTTATTGTCTGTTCTATGGCCAGGGTTACTCAAACTTCTTCTAGTAGAATGAAGCATTCTTGCCTTTGCTTCTGTGTTTCCATAGAATTGTTAGTCACATTGCTAATAGACTACTTAACACATTTATTGTAATTATTTATGTACCTTTTCTACTCCTAGACTGTAGCCTAACCTCTAGTTAGGTTGTAAAATAGATAGATAATAAATATTTTTTGAAAGAATGAGTGGCTTAATATTATAAATGTTATTTGCTGGATCCTGCTAAAATATTCATCATTTTTGAATACAGGATAAATTATTTATTTCCTCTCGTGTCCATCCAATAGTTCTAAGTGTGTCCCACTTGCAAAAACAAAACAGACAAACAAAAAAACCCGAGACACTATTAGCTTATTTGTTTGATTTTTTCTTATGAGAGGAGTTGTGTCATTTTATTGTTATAGCCAGACTGCCTATTTTAGATAATAGAAAATAGTAAATAACAAATACCCAAAATGTATGAAGTTCATCATGTTTTACCTTCTCTAAATATTTGAATTTCCTTTTTTATTTGGGACTTTAAATACTTTTTCTCATTACCAAACTTAAAAAAAGGCATATAAAACAAGAGACACTTTTAAAATTTTTTAAAGTTTGAATAATAGAATAATTTATTGCCTTTGCTTTTACTTAGAGCATCTGAAAGTTAATATTCTAGTTCTCAGAATAGGCCTTGAAACAGACATGTAGAAAAAACTAGTCCTTAGTTAAGCAAAGTTATTTAGAATTCAGTGGGAAGAACATAACAAAAAGGCAGATATTCTGTCATCTTTTGACAATATTAGCAGAGAATGAATGATTCTTGGATAAAAATTTTATTTCGTGAAGTGGCTATATAATAAGAGAAAAAAATGTTTGTTATAAAACAATAGAATTGGGAGACATTCCACAAAAGGCAAATCTCTTAATTTGTTGATCTTTCAGTAAATTTAGTCTAATTAAAATATTTGATTCATTAATTTATTTAACAGTATTTATTGAGTGCTTACCATGTGTCAGATAGGGAATATAGCTGGGAGTAAGGAAAAGACCCAGATTTCATGGAGCTTACACTTTAGCTTGGGAGAATATAATAAATAAATAATATAAGGTAGTGATAAATGCTATTAAGAAAAGAATCAGGGTTGATGTGCTAGAGGGTGCCTCTGGGGCTCCTTTAGACGTTGGTGAGGAGACAGTAAGCTAAATCTGGTTGATAAGAGATACCTTGTGCCAATCTTGGCGGAAGAACATGACACACAGAACAGTTAGTACAAAGGCCTTGAGGTGGGAACAGTCTTGAGTTGTGGCTGGAGCACACAGAGAAAGGGGGAAAGCGGTAGAAACTATGTTAGAGAGGTAGGCGGGGGCCACATCAGAAAGGGCTTTGCAGGCCGCGGTAGGAAATTCTCATTTTATTCAGGTTTAATGGGAATCCATTGGAGGGTGTCAAGCTGGAGGTAACATGATCTTATTTACATTTTAAAAAGGGCCCTCTGGTTGCTGTGTGGAGAATGGATTATAGGGAGTCAAGGTTGGAAGCAGAGAGACCAGTTCACAGACTATTGCAACAGTCCAGAAAAGATCTGATGGGGGTTGGTGGTAGTGTAAAAGATTTGGAAAATTGTTGTTTTAAGGATGTATGTTGAAGGGTCTTGATGAGCAATTAGATAGGAGAGTGAGAAGGAGATGGAATTCTAAGAAGTTCAAATTTCAAAATAGTTCAGTCACTACAACGGTATGATTTAAATGGCCAGTTTTTCTTTGAGGTCAGAAATGGATAAGAATTTTATTGATGTGTTTGTCTTAACAGTGTTTGCAAAAAGAGGACTGGAGGATGATAAAACTTGAACTTTGTTTTTATTTGCTCTTCTGGAAAATGTTAAACTATAGCAATAAGGAAATTTTACAGTATTGCATTATGGATTTGCTTTTAAAATAATGCATGAGTAATTAACCAAGTGTATTTTCCCTCAGATTAATGTTCTTCAATCAAAAAGGAGATCAGAAATCCTAAAATCAGTAAGATATTATTGAAATAATATTTTAAATACTTTAATATAAAACAGCGTACATATTTATTCACGTTTAAAGCCGCCTATAATATATGTATATATCAAAGTTCATAATTGTTCTTGACTTCTTATTGATCTTTGTACTTCTGTCACTTAACCACTTTTTGTCTCTTCATGCAGTAGCTATTTATGTGCATCCCATCTCTCAATAAATACACTGTGAGCTCCTTAAAGACAGATTTTATACTATCCTGTTTTTATCTTCTATTATCCTAATAAGATGCTTTACAGGTAGTAGATGCCCAGTGCTATTTGGTAAATAACTGGAAATGGTTGGTGTAAACCTGTCTGAGAATTTCAGGATTTGTTTTGAAATATATAAAAATAAAATACTGTTACATTTAGGTTTTGATTTTCATCTCATTTGTATTTGCTTTTAAAAATATTCTGCTTAGCATCTTTCAAAGTAGTTATATTTTTCCTGTACAATTGTATGTATTATTTGGGCATCTAAAATATTTGCGATTGAGGACTTACATGAATAGTATCATTTGGAGAATTTTTCCCTTAGGGTTGATGTTCTGTCAGCCTTTTGGCTTATTCTTTGCTGTATAGTTACAAAACAAATGGGATGATATTTGAGAATTAACTTTTTTTTCACCCCCTGAACCTCTACACCCATGGTGACAATGATTTTTTTAATTTGCCCATTTTTTGCTTTAGCGTTTAGAAGGAAGTGGGCAGGGGATGGTAGTGGTTTGATGTCTCACTCTTTCATATTTTGAGATTTCTGCTTTCTGAATTTTTCACTGAAGTCATTTTTCCCTCAAAGGCTATACTTAAATTGCTTTTGATCCTTGCCTCTCCCCACTAGCTTTTGTGTGTGTATGTGTATGTATGTGTGTTTATAGTCACAGTATCCTATGAGGTAAGTACTTTGTACTTAATGTTTTTAAAAAGATACTGTCTATCCTCCCTCTCTTTCCCAGATTGACACTGATATATATTAATTGTAGAAAACTGGAAAATAAAATGTATGAAGAAGAAAATAAAAACCACTTATAAATCCTACTACCAAGGGAGAACCACTGTTAATATTTTGATTTGCATCTTCTAGTCTTTTTTCTGTGTATGTGTATGCAAACATGTATATGTAGCTTTTAAAATTACTTAAAAAGCAAACAAAATAGGAATCATTCCTACATACTGTATTATTAATTACATTTTTCACTACTATACTGCAAAATCATTCTATGTCATTAAATACTCTTTATTTAATGATGACTTTTGTGGCCAGGTGCAATTCTACCACGTGAATATACCAGGGGTCAGCAAATTTTTTTTGTAAAGGGCTAGGTAGTAAATACGTTAGGCTTTGCAGGCCATACAGTCTGTGTCTTAACTACCCAACTCTGCCATTGTAGTGAGAAAGCAGCCACAGCTAATATGTAAATGAACACATGACTGTTCCAATAAAATTTTATTTTGTGGATACAGAAATTTGAACTCATAATTTTCATGTGTCGTGAAATAGTATCCTTTCCGTTTTCTTTCAGTCATTTAAAAATGTGAAAACTATTCGTAGTTTATAGACCATACAGAATTGGTGGTGGGGCTGGGTCTAGTTTGTGGGTAGTAGTTTGTGGACCTCTGTAATGTACTATAAATTAACTTTACCCATTAATGGATATTTAAGTAATTTCCATGTTTTTAACATTAAAAAATAGCATTGTGATGATCATCCTAATGAGTAATCTGATTATTTCCTTAGAATAGATTCATACATGAGGGATTACTTAGTCAAAGGATTTAAACATTCATTAATTATTAAAAATAATCATTAAAAATATTGTCAGATTTCAAGGTTATACAACCATTTACATTTCCACTAATGCTGTGTGAGAGTGAACATTTTCCTACACTTTTACCTGCACTGGCTGTTACAGTTCCCCACCACCCTGTTCCCAATTTGTTAGACAGAAGACACGATCTCATTGTTCGCATTTGCATTTCATTAATACAATTGAGTTTGAACGTTTTATTTTCCATATATAATGTGTGTATATATTTTTTTTCTGTCTCTTATGTTGCCTGTTTATGTCTTTTGTCTCTCTTTCTGTTCGAGTGTTCATCTTTCTCATGCTAGTTTGTAACATCTCTTAGTATTGAGACTGTTAACCCTTGTCATAGGTATTTCCTAGTTTAATCATTTCTTTTAATGTGTTGATTATGTGTTTTGATGTACAGGCATGTTTACATTTTTATGCAGTCATAGCTATTAATCTTTCTTTTTTTCCCCAATTCAGTGGTTTTTGTTATATTCACAAAGTTCTACAACTATCACCATTATCTAATCCCAGAACAGTCTTTTTTGTGACTCTTGCCAGTTTTCTTGAAAAAAAAAAAAAAATTTGGTGGATTCTTGAGTGTTAAGGTATTTTAGATTTCAGAGAACTGAACGTATGTCTCTTTTTGCTAAAAATAGCACAAATGATTGGAGGATTCTTTCAGTATTATGCATTTAATTATATAATTCCCTTACATGTGAAAATGTGACTAAGAAAAACAGGGTATTTCTCTCAGAATAAGCAAAATAGAGGAAAATGTGGGGGAAAATATCAACCCTTAAATTAATGACATTTTTGGAATGTCATTAATGAATATTGTAGAATGAATATAAAGAAACCTCCATGATGGGACAAGTCTGTTGACTCATTTTAGTATCTTGAGAAAAAAAAGAGCATTCTGTTACTTCAGGTTGTGATTGTTGATCTAGAAGGTTGTAAAGTGTTTTATCATTGTTTTATTTTGCGAGCTTTATGTTTCCCTTCTTACCTTTTAATGTTTTATTTGTAGTTTAAGGTTTGCCAGTGAGTTTGGTTGAAGGAGCACATAAATATTTTATAATATACCTAGGAAGGTGGTGATGCTACTGAAAGTTTGATTATATGAATTATTACTCCATAGATTTTAATCACCTAGATATAGTCTAAGCCACTAAAATCTTGGAAATTGTTAAAATTTTAAACTACTGGGAAATTTCTTTTAAATAAAAGTCATTTTTTTGTTAATTTACAAATATTTTTGAAATACTCTTAAAAAAATGAGTCAGCCAGTTTCGTTTTAAATTGGCTTGGCACACTTTGGGTTCTTTTGGAATGATTTTTAAACATTAAGTAAGATCAAGATTTTGAATTACAGAATATTTATTGAGAAATGGATTGTAAAATGATAATTTTTCCCCCTATTAGATGTTATCTTTTATGTATGCCCATTTGGCCTTCTTTCATCAAGGATATGATCTATTTAGTGAACTTGGGCCCTACATGAAGGATCTTGGTGTACAGGTAATCTTGGATCTTACTTCTTGATTTTGTATTATATACTGATCCCTGTATTTTTAAAAATAAACTAAGCATTTTGGGAGATTAGACATTTCATTTACTTAATGAAGAACTTTGATTCTATAGCAAATTTGTGTATAGGTTAAATGTGTAACCAAAAAATGAAATTAAAGATAAAAAGTAACTATTTTATAGATAGTGTATAAAAATACTGAAAAGGAAAATTTAAAAATGTTTTACAATATATAGAGCTGAATTTATTTTTGATTTCTTACATTTGGATAATTGAGTTAATGCCCTAATTAGTTTTCCATTTGAGTTATAGCTCCTTTTTATTTAAAAAAAATTACAGTTTGCTGTTTTGAATAAATAAAATTTTAGAATGTTAAGATTATAGAGCAAGAGAAAGATGTGGCAGTCTGCTTCCATAGAGATTTACAGCCTTGGAAACCCTGAGGCAGTTCTACTCTGTCCTATTGGGTTGCTGTGAGTAGTTGGAATTGACTCGAGGGCAGTGGGTTTGGTTTTTGTTTGGGTAAGGTTATAGAAATTCTGGGAGCTTTGTGTGTGTGTATGTGTGTGTGTGTAGTGTATATATGTGTGTGTGTATATATATACACACACAGACACACACATGTATATAAGAATTTTATATATATATATAAATTTCATTATGTTCAAATTATTTTTGATATCTGATCAGGACTTTATGTGTATTCTGGGGACATTGTTCTTTGCTGATTGGTGATCTTTCTGGGTTTAATAGTATAAATATTTAGGTGATTTTCTTTTTCAAGATGGTTCAGGCTACTTGCTGAGGGGAGGGGATTAAAGTTGAAAGACAAGAGTTTGGAGAAATGGGAAAAAGGTAAGAGTGGAATGGGAATTGGAGCTTCTGATCAGAGTGTGGATGGTTTTGGGGAGGGGTGGCACACAGGGCATATACCATGAATTACATATAGACCTACCTCCACAGAAGTTAATCTCTTAGAATTAAACCAGCAAATCACCTGGCTATTAATCTACGTGTGTAGTCTCTGTACACTAAGTGCCTTAGTGTTCTGACTGGGTATAGTTAGGATGAGGTTTGTTTGCAAGTGATAGAAAACTGAAAATAGTAGTAGCTTCAGCAAGATAGATTTTTATTTCTCCTGTGTAAAGTCAAAGGCCTGGTATGGTGGTCACTTGATCAGCAATGACCCAGGTTTATTCTATCTTTTGCTTCTACCTCATGGTTCAAATTGGCTACTCAACCTCTAGCCGTCATACCTAAATTTCCAGCTAATAGGAATGAGGCAAGAGGAAAGAAGGACATACTCCCTCCCTTTGAGGACATTTCTTGGAATTTGCACATACCACTTCAGTGTACATCCCAATGGCCAGTGCTTAGTCACAAGGTCACACTAGCTGCAAGGAAAGCTGGGCAATATAGACTTGATGCTAGGTATCCAGGTGACCTGTTAGAATTTGGGTGTTCTATTGTTAAGGGAAGAGAGATAATGAACATTGGGGGACAGCTACCACACGGGAGAATTGAGGTATTATAGGCACACACAGACAGGACATGTAACATAGACCTTCCTAGTTTCTGGGCAATCTTCACATCCTATCAAACATTAGATTGCAACCCTCATCTCACATTAAGTATCATTATATACAATGTAAGATGAATTGCAGTTGACTTTTTGAAATGTATATTTTAGTGGATAATATGGCTTCATTTCGGGTGTCACGCAGGGCATCTCAGAGGAAAGCTGAGACGCGAAGGATGGAGGAGGATTAGCAAGCTCTGTGTGTGGAGCATAACAGAGGAGGCTGGATAAATTGATCAGGAGCCGGTTTCACATAGGGCCTTGTGAACTGCTTATAGGAGTCTGGATTTTATCTTAAGAGTGCTAAGAAGCCATTGACAGTTTTAAGCTAGCGAATAGCATGATCACATTTGTAGTTTAGGAAAATAATATTTGAAGAACATATTGGGTGAAGCCTAAACTTAGAATGTGAGAGAATAGTTAGAATATTCTTCTAGTAATTTAGTTAGGAGACAATAGCATCTGAAACTAGAGTCATAACAATAGGAATGGAGAGAAATAGGTAGACTTGAGGGATATTTAAGGTACACTTAGTTTGAGGGTAGAGGGATATGGTGAGTTCGGTTTAAATGTGTTGATTTTTGAGGGTAGGACATCCAAGTGGATATACCTAGAGCTTGAGAGAGAGACTAAAAGAGTCTGTAGCATATTGACCTAGGGAGAGTTATGGAGCTATAAAAAATAAAAAACAGTGTAGGTACCTGGACACCATACCTAAAAATTTTGATTCTGTAAGTTCATTGGTGGAGAGTAAAAGAGAAGATGGCTTGGGACTGGGCTCTAAGAAGCACTACTTTGAAGGGATGGCTAGGGAGGTGGGGCTCCATGAGGCATGAGGACCTAGATGAGAAAGGGTGTGGAAATCCAGGAGACTGATATCACAGGCCATGGTAAGAGTATCTCAGAAAGATGATCAGTTTCCAATAATGTATGACTGAGCAATATCTGTTGGGTTTAGCGACAGGAAGGCTCTCTGTGACATCTGTGAGAGTTGCTGTTTCAGTGGAGTGTGGGTCTGGACAACAGGAGCTACATTAGAGTGGGTGGATTTCAGTGATGAATCTGAAATAGGCAAGTGAAGAACAGAGAATATAGGGAACCTTTTCAAGAAGTTTTGCTGTGAAGGTAAGAAAGAAAGTAGTAGCTAGAGAGGAATACACGTCAAGGGGTGGGCTTTATTTAAGGCAGGGCTGGTTAGGACACATGTAGAAATAGCTGGCAACGGGCCAGTTTGAGAGGGAGAAGTTGAAAAAGAGCAAGAGAAGGGCTGACATCTGAGGTGGTAGGAGGAGATGGAATTCAGAACACAGGGAGAGGAAGGAAGGTACCTAGCTAGTTACAGGAGCCTACTGAACTCATCATGTCTAACACTAATACAGACATGGGACATATCCTGCTGTCCTCCAAACCCTTCCAGATGCAATTCCCAGCATCTAGAAGACTGTACTATTTTCTGACAGTCTTCACATCTCAACTCATGCCTCCCGTAAATCCCCAGTATGTTGAAAGATAATTCTTTCCCTTCCTGCCCCAACAGAAAACCAAAGCCAAACCCATTGCCACTGAGTCAATTCTGACTCATAGCAACCCTGCAGGACAAAGTAGAACTGCCCCATAGGGTTTCCAAGGAGCTGCTGGTGGATTTGAACTGCTGACATTTTGGTTAGCAGTCAACCTCTTAACCACTGCACCACCAGGGCTTCAGTGCCCCAACAAAGAGAGGGAAATTTCCCCTCTTTCTGGGGCAGTAGCGTTGGGGTGGGAATACAGCAGAGAAATTTACTACCAGTTTGATAGGCAGATAAACGATCACTTGCACTGCAGTACTCATGTGTAAGGTACACAACATGTGTGAGTTTGTAAATACCACTTTATATCTGGGGAGTTGCCTTGTACTGCACTTCAGTCTGAATGAATGAATAATATTTATAGTCCATTCAATCAGAGGCATTAAAAACCATGGTGTAATGTTTATCCTAGTGATTCTATATAAGCAGTTATTGGTGACATACATTTTTCCAGTGCAGCGTATACCAGCATCCCCTGTTAAATCAGTGTTACATGTCACACAGGTAGGCATGTGTTGGATAGTTGAGTTGTATAGTTGCTTACCAAATTTGATACTTAATGATTATAATAATGATAGTTCTGTTTTAGTGTGGTGCTTTCTTTTGGTTCTTTATTGCTATTTGGTAACATTAAGATTCTGTAACCAGAATTATTCACCTGTAGAAAAAAAATCATATGTGATAGAGGGTGAATAAAGGATCAGGTAGTGTTTTAGGAGGATTTTTTCCAATGTAGTTTTTAAAGGATAAACATTTGGGCATTTAATACTTTCTCCAGATTCCTGCCGATATTTACATTTTTATTTATTCATCATCAAACATGTGCTAATCAGTTAGAGGTGATGGGAGTTCAAAAACAAAAATAAGACATATATTACAGTCTAGAGGAGGAGATCCCCGTAATGGACTATATTATAGCCCAAATATTTACTATTCCAGCAAATAGGAGTTCAGGAAGCTAGTGCATTTCTCATCACAGAGTACATGTGATACATGTATATAATACATCAAATACTTCTTTTCTGAAATGAAAATCATCTTTTCTGAAGGAAAGGAGCAAAAAGGAAATGAGAATTTTTTTTTTTAATTTCATTAAGTTTTTTAAGGTTTTTAAAAAGAAAGTACCCTGTATCTTAGACATTGGTGATTTTATACCTTGGTCTTATGAGTGATTTTTATTCTATTATTATTTTAGCTTTTTCTTTTGTCTAGTGAATTAGACTTGATTATAACATTAGGAAGCCAACTTGAGTGATTGATTGGAAGTATCTGTTACAGTGAACTTGTGAGAGCTGGCTGCCCTTGCTTAGCTGCTACTTTTTGCTGTTTGGGAAAGAATCACCAGTATCTCTTGTTTCTGTCTTTGACCATGACTGCCAGAATTTGCCAGGTAGATCAGCAGGCAACTTAAGCTCAAGTTGTTTTCCTTATTCAGGGACTGAACTTGCGGTGCATTTGGAAAGGCACCCTGCCGAAAGTGCTTGGCATCATGACTGTTCTTGCAAACGCTTTCTTTAGAGGAGATACAGAGCTTTCTGTAGAGGGTTTGATACCAGAAAAAATATGAACTTCCGCCTTAAAGTGTTAACCAGAATGTCTTTTAAAGTAAACTTAAATTGACTAGCCTCTTGCTATGCTTATGATTTAGGAATATGATTTTTAAAAATAATCATGCGTTCTTTCTTTGACTTTGAAGTCTGTACAACTTTTTCCTTTTTCCCCCTTTTTGTAGTTGGATCGGCTGGTTGTGGATGCAGCAAAGGAGAAAAGAGAGATGGAGCAAAAACATTCCACCATTCAGCAAAAGGTACCCGAGGGAGAAGGTTAAAGGAGGTTGACCCTCCTTCTATGTAGTTGTTTGATTATTGATTTCAGCAAGGCACTGCTGTGTTGGAACAAATCCTTTATGGGTTGCTTTAATAATTAAATTGTGTAGATAAATTCGTTCTCTTTTTGTGACAAGTAAAATATTTTTCAGATGTTAAGGTATATATTTTATTATTCTTTCAGATCAAATATATCTGAAAGCCATGCTCTTAAACCAGTAAAACATCAGCCTCTTAGGGCTCTAAGTTAAAAGTGACCCTTACTGAAAATTTAAAAACACTGTTCTTAGTTTTAGTTAAGTACCACCAACCCTGTAAAAAGAGTGGATGCATCTGTGTGTGTGTGTGGGTACCTTAGGGTCAGTATGTGAGTCTGGTTTTATGGGCTTTGTAGTTGCTGTCCCCCTAAGGCCCGCCCTGCCACCCATGTGATGCTGAAACTTCACTTGCATTTCATGTTAATTTGCCTCAGCCTAGATAGACTAATACTGGAAAATATGTTTTTTTAAAAATGAGCACTTAAATTTTAAACCAGTTTTTATTTTTGCATACTAAAAGATTTGAGGATGATACACCCGAAGCTCAACCTAATAATATTTTACCGTGTATGGTTGGTGGTACTTTTTATGTAGTAATCTGAAAATAAGAGGAGAGTTTCGAAGAGCAGATGTAGTAACACAAGTGTTGACAAGGTGCCTTCTGGCATTGCTGTAAGGAATTCTTTCTTCTTGGTATTGAGCAGTCAAATCAAGTTTTGTTATGGCTTTTTTAGAATTTAAAAGTCCTGCAGTCTAGATCTGATACAGAAGATGTGTCAGTGACAATCATGAGAGAGAAGCAAGTAATAGAAGTAAGGAAACTTTTATTTGTGATGGGCTGTTAGTACTCAAGGAAAAAGAGTACTTAAAAGGTGACATTTTCTCTCAGATCATCTTTAAATTAGTTACTTCTGAGTGATGGCCATGTGAGACTAACTCGGTGTTTAAGTAAAGTTAGATTCACTTTTGTTTGTTTGACTCGTTTAGTGACATTGTCATTGAAAGATGGTTAAAAATTTCAGGCCAGTCATTTCTAATTAAAATGAGAGATCATGATATTTATAGAAACATGTGAATATTTGCTTATTGAATTTCAAACTGAATATTATGCATCCTTTAAATTTTTTTTTCCTATTCTGTACGCATGAAGGATTGATTTTAGGTTCAGTGTTGTACTAAAAGTCTAAAACATATATAGATTATTAAATCTAAGATTAACTTCTCTGATTTTAAATAATACTCACTTAACTGTTTTGCTTTTAAAGAAAGTAACGTTATTTTTCTTCATTCTGAATACTTAACCTTTTTTCTGCCTTTAAATGCTGGCACAGGCTGCCTTACAGGTAAAAACAAAAATCCAGTCATCTGAGAAGTAGGGGAAAGTGGCTAATGTAATTATTTGAGTTTTTTAAGAATTACTGGTTAATTAAGAAGCACTGATGTTATGAACACCTTTGTACATCCCGTTTGGATATGTACGCACATTTCTGACTGCTGGGCCATAGGTTTAGAAGTGTTCAGCGTTAGTAGATAACGTTAAATTGTCGTCAGAGTGTTCGACCGTCCTTGGCAGCATTGAGAGTTCCTGTTGCTCCTTGCCACCTCATCCATTGCATTGTGAGAGTTTTTGATTTTTGCCAGTGTGATAGGTGTATATTGATATTTCATCGTGGTTTTAATTTATACTTCTTTCATGATGCATGAGCTCAAGCACCACTTGCCGGGTAATCTGTAATTCGGTTTTTGTGTATGGTGTGAGGTACGGTTCCAGTTTCCTTTTTCTCTCACATTGGTAGCCAGTTGATGCATAACCAATTATTTAGAAGTTTGTTCTTTCCCCAGTTATCTGCGGTGTCTCTTCTGTTACACGCCACTTTTTTATGTATGTGAGGTCTGTTTCAAGCTCTCTATTCTTTTCCATCGGTCTTTTTGCCCAATTATGCCAGTACTATACTGTCTTAATTATTATAGATCTATAGTAAATTTTGATAACTGATAAAAATGAAGCCTTTTCTTCCTCAAAAGTAGCTTGCCCAGTATTGGCTCTTGGCATTTCCATGTATGTTTCAGAAGCAGCTTTTCAGGCTCCATGAAATTAGCTTTTGGGATTTTGATTGAGGTTGCACTGGATTTCTGAATCAATTTGGGAGACAATTGATACCATTATTTAACTGTAACTTTTAATCCATGAGCTTGGTATGTTTCTCCATTTATTTACATTTTTTAATAATTTTCTTATATATATCATATTAGATTTATTCCTAGATCCTTGTATTGTGAATGTTATCTTTAGAAATTTATTTTCTTACTGTTAGCTCTGTTATATTAGAGTAAAAGTGATATTTCTTCAGTGATTTTATAACCAGTAATCTTGCTAAGCTCTCTTTTAATACTAATTTATCTCTGTATTCTTTTGGACGTTCTGTGTACACAGTCATATCATCCATAAATGACAACAGTTTTGTTTCTTCCTTTCTAATCCTTTACTTTTTGCTTTCTTGCTAATTAGGAAGTCTAACATAATCTTGAATGGAAGTGGTAACAATGGGCCTTGTTGTCTTGTGTGCAATTTCAAAGGGAAAGCTTCTATTAGATTCCTGTCCAACCTTGGCCGGCTTTGGTCTTGCCTTCTATTCCCTGGGCCCCACACCAAAGCTCAGGTTTCCCTGATGAGGCAAATGCCCTGAAGGTGAAATCTGGCTTCAGTGCTCTGCTGACCTCTTAGGCTTCCATTTCCACTAAATCTTTTGCTTTTGAGTATTCCTTCCTAAGATCCCTGGTGGCACACTGGTTAAGTGTTTGGCTGCTAACCAAAAGGTCAGCAGTTCGAATCCACCAGCCACTCCTGGGAAATCCTATGGGGCAGTTCTGCTATGTCCTGCAGGGTTGCTATGAGTCCGAATCGACTCGATGGCAAAAGGTTTAGTTTTTATTTATTCCTTCCTAATTTGTCAGCTCATGAATTCATTTAAAGAGATTTCATTACTATGTAATTTATCCAACATTATTAGTTGCTTTCGTTATAAAATCACATAATCTGTCACTATTTCTAAGTATTATAAAATATTAATATTAATTAAATCGAAGACAGTTCATCTCAAGAAGTATATCTGAAAATGAGAAAATACTTGTAATGAACTGCACTTTCAAGGAAGTCTTAATTTTGTGTTTCAATAGGCATCAAGGTTATTAAAAACGGCTGATACTACAAATGAACCCTATATGATGTTGCCAAACTCAAGTTATATCTACTGGTGACTTAATCCTGTCTGCGTAATTAAATGCATTGTAACTTCAAATAAATTTTAAATGAAGGAGTTAAAAGTTTTCCTGATTTTTTTTTCCTCAGAGAAAAAATAAGAAATGTAGCTATTCGTTTACAGATTCTACTTTATTTGATTATATTGAATTAACATGAGGTTTTTATGGTTAAATTTTGAAAGATGTCAGGGGAGTTTTTTTAAATTCTGAATTCAGACTATTTCTTCTTCCATCTTAGCAGATTCTTAGATTCAGAGGCGACTCTTAACTCCACCTCTCCTCTAGTACAAGACACTCACATCCGGACATTCTCAGCAGGTGGCCAGCCAACCTCTGCCAAAATGTTTCTCGTGACAGGATGTTCACTGTTCTCTATAGGATAGCATTCTAATTTTAATCATTGTTCCAGAAGTAATTTTGAAAGTTCTCAGACTGATTTTTAGGGTTTTTTTATTTGGGGGTAGCACCAATCTTGCAATTTTGTTCAAATTACTTTGGAATTAAATCAGGAAATAATTTAAATATAGGATTTCTGATTTCCAAACTTCATGAATCTTTGGAGGAAAATTGAAAGTTTGAATTGCACACATGTGATTAGACAGTAGAGGAAGACTATGAGTGAGTATGAGTCCTCATAAACACATGATCTCAACATGCTCACCTCAAACCGTGGACTAGGGTTCTCCCTTGTAAAACTACATTTTGTATTAGGGGAAAAACACTGTGGAGCCCTTATCTTATTTATGAACTCTGTTCCCTTCCAGGCAGTGGAGTTATTAGTCCTACCAGATTAAAAAATTATTATGATGGTAATAAATTTAGAAAATAGTGGTTGATTTGAATAATACCAATTAAATATACCTATATGCCCTTTTGGAGCCCTGGTGGCATAGTGGTTAAGAGCTCGGCTGCTAACCAAAAGGATGGCAGTTTGAATCTACCAGTCGCTCCTTGAAAACCCTATGGGATGGTTCTACTCTCTCCTGTAGGGTCACTGTGAGTCAGAATCAACTTGATGGCAGTGGGTTTGGTTCTGGCTTTATATGCCCTTTTGGGAGTCCCTGGGTGGTACAGATGGTTAATGCACTTGGCTGCTAACAAAAGGGTTGGCAGTTTGTGTTCACCCAGAGGCACCTCAGAAGAAAGTCCTGGTGATCCACTTTCAAAAAATCAACCATTGAAAACCCTCTGGAACACAGGTTCTACTCTTACACACATGGGGTCTTCTTGAGTCAGAATTGACTCGATAGCAGCTTTTGTTTTTTAATGCCCTTTTAAAAATTAACACACACATCACCATAAAATGAAAACATCTGTAAACATACCATGCTTTATAATATTTAGTTGTTCCGTTTGTCTGTCTGTTTGTGTATTACTTTGTGGTTTTAATCAGAGTGTGTACACAATTTTTATCGTTTTCTTTTTCATAGTGTATTCTATATAATCTTTTATTTTACATCATCATCACCATGATTGCTTAATAGTCCATTGAATTTAAAATATTTTAATATGTTGAAGAATTCTTTGTTATTGAACATGTAGGTCTCTCCCCTTTCTTGTGAATAATGTTGTGGTAGCTGTCTTAATGCAAAGCTTTTCTTCCTTTTGAACTATTTCCCTAGGATACGTTTGTTGGAGAGTCAAATCAGATGAACATTTTTGTGTGTTACTTTGTCTAGGATTTCTCCAGTGATGATTCTAAGTTAGAATATAATGTAGATGCTGCCAATGGCATTGTTATGGAAGGATATCTATTCAAACGAGCCAGCAATGCCTTCAAGACTTGGAACAGGTAATTTATTTTAAATACTATTCTTGAGCTTTCCATGTTCACGGTTTTCTGACTTTCCCTGTGATTTGGCAACTCTTTTCTTTGTAATTTCCTAAATTCTCAGTTGATAGTACTTCCAGGAACCTAGTCCACTGAAGATGCGGTCTAGGAAAGAGAGCCCTTAGAGAGGGTGAAAGATGACAACGCTAATTCTGAATTCTAAAATTTGAGCAAGGTTTAAATGAGAAAGCCAGTAAGAATTTTTATAAGGCTTGGTCATATATGACTAAGTCATTACAATAAATAAATTTATGTGATGTACTTCCCATATTTGTTATAAAATAGATTTGATTGCACGTTACATATTGAATATAATGGATAAATAGGACAAGTGAGCTTTTTTTCTTTCTTTTGGTTTCTCCCCTATCTGATATTTAAGTGTTCTTTTACTTGCTGTATGTGTCTTTAAGCTAGGTGATCCTGATCTTTTCAACTTTGCAATAACTTCAATTAATCAGAATATTTAGGAAATGGGAACTTTTTAGTATGTGAAGTGCATGGCTGCTAGGTACTTACTTATTCTAAGCTTGATGGCAACCAAAAACTTTGCATTCTTTTTACTAAGATGATTTTTTAAAAATATATAAATCCAGTAAATGTTTATTGAATGAATGCATAAAATGTTTTATTGTATTTTCCTATGTATTAAACATAACAAAGTGAAGCAATTTCAGACATTAAGGCATCAAAAAGAAGATTGGGTTATCTCAGAATCATCCTTCTGAATATCAGTGATTAATCTTTTATTCAGGGATACCTCTCTTTTTTTAAAAAAAAAAACGGTTGTAATAATTGAGTATATTATTTGAGTTCTGATTAATTGATTTAATATTATATATTGGTTGAAATGTTTGTATTTCATTTATTACTTAAGCAGGATATGAATTCACAAAATGATAGAGAAGCTTTTACTTTAAAAAATGGATATTAGCAAAATAAATAGAATTTTCTTGGTGAGTTTAATTTAGTATACATTCTTGTTAATTTAAATGGAAATGTTCATGCTTTATTGAAATGGTTTCCTAGTGCATTTATTTTAATTTCTTGGTCATAACAAAAAAAAATTCACTGACATTTGTAAATGCCAGTAATTATTGATCATTTTCCTAGCATTCGATATTTTAGTGGTATATGATTTCTTATATTTGAAATGATTTTTCACTACCCTAGAGTGGATATGGAAACCCTGGTGGTGTAGTGGTTAAGAGCTATGGCTGCTAACCAAAACGCTGGCAGTTCTAATCCACCAGGTGCTCCTGGGAAACCTTGTGGGGCAGTTCTACTCTGTCCTATAGGATCGCTAAGAGTTGGAATTGACTCGATGGCAACGGGTTTGGTTTTTTGTTTTTTCAAGAGTGGATATAAACAAGAAAGAATAATGATTATATTTTATATCAAGCTTTTTTGAGTTATGTAAAACTTTTTTTATATATCATGTGACTGCTAGGAGGACCTACTAATATGGTCTGGTTGGTAAAATAGTTAGACATTGTTTTTATGTGAAAATGAAAAATTAAGACAGTAATCTTTTAAGCCTCCCTTGGCAGATTTCCCTAGCCAGAGTAGGAAAGTAAAAGAAAAGAGAGTATGATTGAAAAAAAAGATGTGATTGGTGAATCTTTATAATAAAGATTACCCAACCTGTATGTCAAGACATAATCTTAGAATTGAATTTTAACCTTCAGATTTCAAAGCAACATACTTAAAGCTTAAAACAGTGAGAATACAATAAATCCGTAGAAACTATACCATTGTGTCAAGAAGAAATGAAATGAGCTTCCATGGACAACTCCAGTGAGAAATGATTTCAGATATGAAAATGAAGCACAGTGAGTGTTAGTGGAAAATTGTATGTCATTTAGGGCAATAGAGGAAAATTAATTCTGATTTAAGTATACACCTATTTTTATTATTTTATGAATTCTATTAATTAGCTTAGATATTAATATGCAACTAAAGTGAAGCCCTGGCAGCGCAGTGGTTAAGCACTCAGGCTGCTAACCAAAAGATCAGCAGTTCGAATCCACCAGCCTCTCCTTGGAAACGCTATGGGGCAGTTCTGCCCTGTCCTATAGGGCCCCTATGAGCCGAGATTGACTCGACAGCAACGGGTTTGGGCTTTTGTGGTGTAAAGTCAAGTAAGGAATAACTCAAGTTCTCAATGTGTAGACATGTTACTGTTTGCAAAGTGAAAAAGATACGAGACTGCTTTTCAAAGGTGATGCCATCTATACGTAGTGGGATGGCAGTTACTGATTAGAATCATAGATGATTAAAATAAGAAAAGACCTCAACACCATTCTAGTTCAACACCCTGATTTTCATAAAGAAGTGGAAGTGCAGAGAGATTACATTGTTCATTTGGGGGTCACAGCTGGTTTATGACAATATTGGGGCACAAACCCTGGAACTCCCAAGCTTTACTCGTGTCCTTCTGACATTTTTAAAACGGTGACCTTTTTAAAACTGTTCCAAATAATTTGTATTTTGATTAAACATTCTGCAACTTCACTATTAAAAAAAACCTTCATTTGCATTATTAGAAAAAAAAGGATAGCGAATAAATTTCATTTTCATATACCTTTAAAGAACGTTCTGATTATAATACCTAGTGAAAAGCAGACTTGTAAAAATATAGCATATAAATGTTATATGAAACTTACTTCAAAAAACAAAAGTCAAAACCTTGCGACATAAGTTTAAAAAATGTCTAGGTTTCAGTGTAGGAACTATGGGGTCACCATGAGTTGGAATCAACTCGATGGCAACTGGTGTTTTAAGGAACTATAAAAGGGAGTCGCTACGAGTCGGAGTCGACCTGACGGCAACGGGTTTTTTTTTAATGAAAGGGAGAAGAAAGAGAAGAGTAATGCATAAAATATTATTTAGAATTTTCCTCTGCTTTTCAATTCTTAAAATGTGTAATGTATGTAAATTTCTTATATGAGGTTTATAAAAAACCCAATTTCAGGAAACGCTTGTAAATCATTTCTCTTTACCCATGTATGAATTTTGAGTCTGCCCTACCTCTCTAATTAGTTCTCTATCCAGCTTGATTTAATATATATATTCTGCTGGCCTCTGGGTGAAAGACTGTGTATTTGTCATGGTATTTGTGTCTTAACTTTAAAAATTCAGAAATCCAGCTACCCAAACATAGAGATTATTCTGTCCAATGATTTTTTTTTTTTTTTAGATTGTTTATGGATTCGTTTTAGGGAACGTTTTGTTGTTGTTGTTGTAGACACTGTAAGGCACCATTTGCTTTAGCTATAGTTTTATGGAATTAATGCCATATAATATTTTCAAAGTCACCTTTTTAAAAATACCTCCTTCCTCAGGGAAATGTGAATGTGACTAGGAATTGCCAGAAAGTTTTAAAACCTGACCCCCATACTTCATAAATTATGAGTATATTTTGAAAGCATCATTCTTTAATATGAATTTCAACCAAATATATCATATTTAATGTGATGTGATTAGAATACTGTAAGGAGTGAAACGTTTTTTCTCTTATGTGGGTTTTGAGCTTGTTTCTAATTGGTTTCAGGTTTCTAGTTTGTGGTGTCTCTTAAGAGTTTATATGTATATAATATATTTTTCTGCAGACACATGAGGTCTGTCAAAATAATCTTTCCTTGTTGGGTCATCTTCTTGCTGTGACAGCTTCACTTCACTCAAACAAGTGCTAAATGATTACTGGAACCTGTATTTTGGTTTTGCTTTTCATAATAATTTCAGAAAAGGTGAAAAATCAAGGAAAAAACAAGGGAGTATTAACGTAATTTATTTGGTGATAAGCTGGTAAAACTAGTAAAGAAGCTGACTAATTACCTAGTCTCTGTTGAATGAGAAACTATAGCTAAAAACAGAAAATTTATTACAAGTATTTTTTTAAAGCAAGGTAGTTCTAAATGCTGCTTTTCATTTTAAAAGAAGTGTATACATAGATTAAAGATGAACCATATTTATGTGTGGCTTTAGGGTTTCTCTGCTATCATTTGGCAAAAAAGGTGGGGGTGATAGGCTTATGTGGCCAATAATATTTCGTGATTTTTGAAATTCTTGATTAGTGATCCCACTTTCCTTGTAAAAAGTTTATTTGTCTCAGAAGTTTATATAGATATATGTATAGTGATTATTTCCCTTAATTTTTTAGGAGCAGCTTATTAAGATGAGGAGAGGTACTATCTATGTTGTATAGCCATGACCATAGAGGCAGAAAATACTAGTAGAGGTATGCCCAAGTGTGCTGAGTCCTACCGTAATGTTCCACGGCAGAATTCTTGAAGAAGATTTGTGAATATTTTTGAAAAATTAGTGTTTCAGATTCCTAAGAGTTGAAATTAATTGTATAAATGCATATACGTATAATATGTAAATAAAATTCAACAGATAGTTTTGACTATTTTGTTAGGTTATGAGCTTAAGCTTGTTCCTTTTAATTCTTGCTTTATTTTTATATCATGCTAGTCCTTTGCTTATTTTGCACATTTGCGTTTTCATTCTTTTACCACCTTTCCCTTATGTTTTAATCCTGCCCCATTTTTTCACATGACAGGAAAAAGCCCGATCATATCAGGTACCAAATGGCTTCCTTCCCTTCACTCCCCACCCTACTCCAATTTTTCTTTGGCACGAGAAAGCTCATAATTAATCTGCATTTCAGTTGGATTACTTGCAATGGATATAAAGTCTCTTTAGGTTTTAAATTGGGAAGAAAATGTAAATATTTTATTTGAGGAATGTCATTATACTTTTTAATTGCCCATCTCCTCGGTTTGTTTAAATCTAGAAAAGAACATATGATGTGTTCATAGTTACCCCAAGAAGATATAGATTGAGTGATATGAATGCTTTTATATCTTCTTAAAAGGAAATAAGTTAGGAAACTTAAAAAATATTTTAAATAATAACTAGCCTCTTTGGTAATAAACATATTAGTTATCTTGAAAAGAAACATCATTTCCTAGATTTTTTTATTTTATTTTACCATTTTTACTTTTTTTCCCTTGTGAAAAAATGAATTGAATTTTAAAGGAACATACGGTTTTAGGCTTTTAGTTTTGTTAAATATTAACCTATTTAGCACCACTATGAGTCTGTGCACAAAACCCTCATCTGTATAGCTTGTGATAAATCTTATACAGATTTAGAATTTTGACTTACACCTTGATTCTTTAACTGCAGCTCTGGGACTAGTAATCAAACTGGGTAAAAGATAATTTTTTAATACATGTTTATATAAATATTTCCTCCCCACCGCCCATATTTTGTCATCTGGACACTCTCATTGGTATGTAAAAATCAGTTTCTTTTTTTTAAATAATAAGTAAAGTTTACCCAACTTTAGCCTAAAATCTTCATTATATCGAGTTATTCCAATTTGAGATAGATACAAAGTGTTCCTTATTGAAGCAAGAAATCTTCCTTTTTAGGAAACTGTCTTTTATTTTGGCTTTGTGGTCAGCTTAGGAATCTTGTAGGATATGGTATGGTTGTCATCACGATGCTTTGCAAAGTTTGTCTCCTTGGATCGAATTACTTTTTCTGGTACCTTCAAATTCCAGGTACTGAATGCTTAAAATACTTAGTATTTTTTTTCTCTTTTCTGTAGACCATGAACTGTTTATAAGTCTCATTTTTCTTTTTATTAGAACTGTTAATACCTAGCATTGTTTTTTAAGAACAATTAAGATTATATTCCATTTTACTTACTTACTTGATTAAAGTCTCAGTCATGGTTAAATGAATGCAGTTAGCTCTTCTTTTTTTTTTTTAATTGCAGTAGAGGGGAGATAGTGTCATAAGACATACAGATTGTACTTCAAAATTCTTTTCTATCTAGGATACATTATATGAATTTTTTCTCTTAGGAGACGTTGTCAAATAAAGATAAATTTATATTGAAATTAATTTGTCTTTCCTGAGTATGGCACCCTGGTGGCACAGTGGTTAAGAGCTCAGCTGCTAACCAAGAGGTTGGCAGTTTAAATCTACCAGCCGCTACTTGAAAACCCTATGGGGCAGTTCTACTCTGCCCTGTAGGGTCACTATGAGTCGGAATCGACTTGACAGCAACCGGTTATGGGTTTTCCTGAGTGTAAAAAACTGATGATGTGAGAAAGTCTTCCAGAAGCAGATGGATGGCAGGAGAACTGTGCTTCAGAAATACAGGTGATCTGCAAAGTTAATAATTAGAGGGAATGGTCTTTGACAAAGAACATATGTTCCTATCTAGTGTTTTGTCGTTTCTTTTAGAGGATATTATTCTAAGATGCAGCAGGTCAAAAGAAATTCCTTTTTTGAAGACCTCAGACGCATGAAAAGTTTACATGATTACGTAGATGTTTTTCCACTGTGCAATAGATGATTTGAAAATTTTCATCAAATTATTATTATAATTTGATAAAACAGATGAATTTTTATGAATGTATTTCACCCTAGTTTAGACGATTGTAAAAAAAAACCACTTTAATCATTATCAGAGATTTTTTCCATTGCATGTCATCCCATGTGGCAGGGCTGCACCATTTTGTTTGTTTGTAGGTATATCCTTTAACGTTTCTAACCAACCATGTGTCCCAAAGCAAAAACACCCAGAAGTTCTTCCTTTTCTAGCTTGCCTCTTGATGATTTGCATTTAGAGGCAGTCCACCTGGTTTTGTCCAGATGCTTATTTAACAAATCTTTATTTTGATGGCAAAGGTAGTACTTTTTTAAGTGACAACAAAGCCTAATAGTCTGTCTAGAAAATGATTTAAAAATGAAAAAGCATCTTGTAATTATTTTCTCAGCTTTGGAGAATTAACTTAATTTTTTAAAATAGAAATTCTGTGAGAGTCTAAATATGTATTTCTAGTGCTTTGTATTAGTATCAATGAAAAGGTAGAATCTCTATCTGCTAATAGATTAATAACTAATGTTTACAATAGAAATCATCTCACTTGAAACTAATTTTAAAATAATGACTCAGTTATTGTTTTACCTTTCATGCTCGATGAGAATTTTCGCTTTTATGAATGGCTTTTGGCTGTGAATTTTTTTTTTTTTTTGTAAGTCTTTAGGTCCTTTCACTGTTTTTTAAACAAATTAGAATTAGTAAATATGCCATCCACAGCTTAGCTTTTTCTTCTAAAGAAGATTGTAAGTAAATTGTTTGTCTAATAATTTTATAATAATGAACACAACAGTATAAATAGTTTGATGAACTGTCTGTAGTAATAACTTTGATTATTCTGCTTGTAAGTATTTTATATGAAAGTAAGGCCAAGTTAATTGGTGATTATCTCCTCTTTGATTTCTGTTCTAAAATGATAATTTAGTTTCCGTTTTGCTTAACAAATATGTATTTGATGATTTATCTGAAGAAAGGTTGAAACTAATACACCACTTATTTCATGTTTTACTGTATATAAATGGATATTTTTATTCATGATATCAAGTGATTTCTCCTTTATAATAAAAGCAATTATTTTTGCGGAAAGATTTCAATTATTTTCAAGGAACTGCAAAATGCTATAGATTTTTTACTTTAAAACAGTTATTACTTGGTGATAGCCTAAAGGGTAACAGCTTTTGTTAGGATATAAATTTATGCCATAAAACAAATTAAAATATAGTAATTTTATTTTCCTAATCTGGTTTAAAATGCTTGTTCTTTACTTTCACTAGATCTCTTATATTGACATCAATTTATATAAAGCAAAACAAAACAACACACTTGTCAAAACAATTAACCACAGACTGATTTCTAGTACTTTCCCAGATATTTCACTTTTAGCAACAACTGAAATTATGTTTATGAAAACTTAATCTGTTTTATATTTATTTAGACGCTGGTTTTCAATACAGAACAATCAGTTGGTTTATCAGAAAAAGTTCAAGGTAGGTGTTTCGTTAAGTAATTAAGTGAAAACCCTTGTGAGTCCCAAATTTCATTTCTTTACCAGTTTGCCTTGAAAAGCATGAGTTCATAAATACTCTTCTCTGCAAAAGTACTGTTTATTAGGCTTATGTTTGTCCATGAGTAAGTGGACTCTAGAGTGAAAAGTAAGGAGCCCTGGTGGCACAGTGGTTACGTGCTTGGCTGCTAACTGAAAGGCTGATAGTTCGAATCCACCAGCAGCTCTGTGGGAGAAAAGACCTGGCGATCTGCTTCCGTAAAGATTACAGCCTAGGAAACCCTATAGGGCAGTTCTGCTCTGTTGTATAGAGTCATTGTGAGTCAGAATTGACTCAACAACAGCAACAGAGTGAAAAGTATCAACATTTGATCCTTAAAAACAGTGATTTTGAATTATGAATTCCTAGCTTTTAATGGATTTTCCTGTGTCTTACAATTATTACTTCCATTTCTTTATATGTTTCTCTGTCTAGCTATGTGGCAGGAATGACATTTCATAGTATTATTTGAGGCTCAAGGGGTGTAAGCCTTTTAAGAGTATCATGTTAAGATCAAAGTTGATAATATGGTATCTTAGTCATCTAGTGCTGCTATAACAGAAATACCACAAGTGGATGGCTTTAACAAATTGAAATTTATTTCTTCACAGTAAAGTAGGCTAAAAGTCCAAATTCAGGGCGTCAGCTCCAGGGAAAGGCTTTCTCTGTCTGTTGGCCTTCTCATCATTGTTCCCCTGGACTAGGAGCTTCTCTGCACAGGGACCCTGGGTCCAAAGGACACACTGCTCCTGGCACTGCTTTCTTGGTGGCATGAGGTCCCCCTATCTCTCTGCTCTCTTGTTTTATTTCTCAAGAGATTGCCTCAGGACACAATCCAATCTTGTAGATTGAGTCCTGCCTTACTAACACAACTGCCACCCATCCTCCCTCATTAACATCATAGAGGCAGTATTTACAACATATAGGAAAATCACAGAATACCGGGAATCATGGCCCAGCCAAATTGATACACACATTTTTTGGGGGACATAATTCAATCCATGACATGTGGGAAGGTTAAAAATGACATTAAAATGTAAGCTGTAAGTAATTTAAATAGAAACTTCTAAATTTGTTAATATTGTTTTTATATATTTTGTTTCTCCCAACCTTATTTTAAGGGTGCATTAGTTTCTTAGTACTGCTGTAACAAAAATACCACAAGTGGATGGTTTTAAAGAACAGAAATATATTATTTCACAGTTTAGGAAGCTGGAAGTCCGAATTCAGGGCACTGGCTCTAGGGGAAGCCACCCTCTTTGGGGGAAGATCTCTTTCAGTTTCTGTAGACCCAGCATTCCTCTATTCCTTGGTAATCTCCACATGGCATGTCTCTTCCTCTTGTTTGTGCTCATTTGCTTCTGTGCCTAAACTTCCCTTTTATATCTCAAAAGTGATTGGTTTAAGATGCACCCTACACTGATGGGGACTCATTAACATAGCAAAGAAAACCCTATTCCCAAATGGGGTAACAGCCACAGGTATAGAGGTTGGGATTTGCAACACATATTTTGGGGGGACACAATTCAATCCATAACAAAGGGTAAGAAATTTTTATTTATCAGAAAGGCACCTGATATGCAAGTGTTAAAAGTAATTAGGAAAAAAATTAGTTAATTGATGACTTGATTTTCACCTAGTTAGCCTTTTTGAATGATATATTTGGCTGTAAATTTCAAATATTCACTTTACTTGTGAGATGACACAATATGAAATTTTACTTCCTAGGTTCTGTGGTAGCAGCTTTCTTCCTCTTGAGTCCCTTTATGTAACTAATTATTTCATGGTTTTTTCTACTCTGATAAACTTGGTTTTGAGTTTATATTTTTATTAAGTAGTAAAAAATGATAAAAGGGTTCTCATTTTCTTAAGTATTTTAAGGAGGGTATATAGTCTTATTTTTCTCTGAGTCATTTAAAATTTGATTTGTTAAAGGCTTCTTTTTTGGAAGAAAGTAGTTTTTATTATGTGTTAGTGGGGATTGGAAGTAATGGATAGGAAAAAAAATGGAAGGATATTAACAGGAAACTAATGTTTATTGGGCACATGCTAAGTACCAAGTGTTGGGCTAAGCTCTTAACATGAAATATTTAATCTAATCCTTATACAACAATTTTATGAGGCAAATACAGTTACTTACAGGATAGAATTACCTTTATTAGTTATGTCTATGGTTGATGACCTTTATCTATAATCAAAAATAAAATATAAACATTTAAAAGTAGACCATTTCTTCCAAGTAATGTTTTTAAGGGTGTTATTATTGGTAGTAGTTATTTAAATCCTAAGTGGGTAAATATGGAAATTTTGTTTTCTTATTGTAGGATAACCCCACTGTGGTAGTTGAAGATCTCAGGCTCTGCACAGTGAAACATTGTGAAGACATAGAACGAAGATTTTGCTTTGAGGTGGTCTCTCCAACAAAGTGAGTCGTTTTAAAGAATGTGAGAGTTGCTTTTATGTTTCTGTAGATTATCTTGAAGAACTTTCCAGAGTAGAGAAAGTTGGGCCTCTGACTTATGATTATCAGAACTAAAGAAGATAAAAGTGTTTTTAAAATAAATTTAAATAGTTAATTATTAAAGATATTACAGTCATATACTTATGTAACTTCTACCTATATACCATATTCTTTAAAATTCCATAGAGATTATTGATATGCCCATATGAAAACTTTTTTAGCTGTCATAATGATGAACTGAAATCATATGTCAGTTTCCTATTTCATACTTTAAAAAGCTACCCAATAGAAAAAATTAGGATTATGTTTATCTGGTAAATGTAAGGATTTATTTTTAATTTAAAGTGCAGGAATGGACAATCTGTTTTCGTTAGGTAATTTGTTTTACTGGTACCTTAATTTCTTCATGAGCATATTTTGTCCTAAAGATAAATGAAATAAACCTTCTTTCAATAGAAATTATTTTTTTTGTTAGAAAAGTATTAAATAAAGTAGACAGAAATTTAACGCTTAATTTTTTTATTGGTTATTTTAGTGTCTGAGAGAACAATATGTTATTTTGTTTTAGAAGTTGTATGCTCCAGGCAGATTCTGAAAAACTGCGTCAGGCATGGATTAAGGCTGTTCAGACCAGTATTGCCACTGCTTATAGAGATAAGAGTGATGAATCAGAGGTGAGTAAACAGTACTGCAATACCAAATAATATGTTGCCAGTATTAGTTTTTAAAATCTATGTTCAATTTCTCTTGATTTTTACCTGTAATTTTAATGTTTATTTTAATATTTGAATATATGTTCCAGAATTGGTATAAGGCATTCCAATGTTAGTGTTTTCCCCAAAAATATTTTATATTTTAGTTAATAATGAAATAATGAATGTTAATGATGTGAAATAATGACTGTGAAAGGTATTTAAAATTAAAGCTGAGTCGAAAGCAAAAAAGGAAAGAGCAGCATTGCTTCTTAGCTGAAGGATCCTTGGAGAAGATAAACTTGATATGGAGTCTTTGGGTCATAGTCTGGCTTCAGGTTCCTAAAGAGCTTACAAACTCTTTTGGGCAAGATCATGAGTAAGTCTTGATAATGGAACTCACCACTACTGAGGTATCTGACATGACTGTGGCATGGGCCTAGTGATAGACAGCTGTGAGGCATATGGTTGGCAGAGTGGGTTGCTCTATATATTGTATCCTGAAGCCTATCTTGGCCAACTTTCAGCTCCCAGCGGTAGATCAAATCAGAATCGTTCCCAGTAGGAGACAAGAGTACTCAGCTAATCCAAGCAGCAAGGCATAGAGAAGAGCATAGGAATTTCGTCAGTGGCCAGGTTCACCTGGACATTGTTGGGTACATATTGGGAACATTGGCAAAGGGTATCTTGTGAAGATAACCCTTAATATGTCGGTCTCTTGAATCACACTCCAATCTGGACCACTTTCCCTCTAAGCTTGCTCTACAGCTGTTAGTTTGGAATTTCCCTATGTAGTCATTCTGGTGATTCTCTTCTTCCTTGTACTCCATATCTTCCTCCTTCTTGATTTATCAAGAAGCAGTTGAGTACTTTTGCCAGTAGCTACCTGAAAATGAGAATTTTGTGAGTCTTTACGTGTCTGAAAATGTCTTTATTCTGGCCTCACATTTGTTTGATAGTTTGGCTGGGTATAGAATTTTTAGGTTGGAAATAATTATTCTTAATAAATTTAATAACTTGTTTTTCTAGTTGCCAGTTCTGATTGCTAATCTTTTGTAATTTCTTTTCAGAAGATCTCTTTTCTGGTTTCTGTTTTCTTTTTCTGGAATTTCTGAACTGTAATTATTTTTTTTTCTTTTTTACTCCACTTTCTGAGAGATATTCTGAGTTAATCTTCCATGTCTTCAATTGAGTTTTTTAGTTCTCCTAGCATATATAATTTTCAAGAGTTCCTTTTTGTTCTCTGAATGTTTATAAATATAAACCTGTTCTTTTTCTCATGGATGCAATATTAGAGCTACGGATCTTAACTTCAACTGCACAGTATGATAACACAGGGGGCATTAAAGAATCCTGATGGATAGGTCACACCCCAGAACCCCAGAACAAATGAATAGAGTTGGAACCCAGGCATCAATATTTTAAAAGCTTCCTGGGTGATGTCCATCTGCAGCCAAGACTGAGAACCACTGTGTTAGATGCTTTCCTTGGCTATCTAGCAATCTGCTTATGATTACAAATTAGAAACTAAAAACCTCCTTAGAAGCTCTGAGCAGTTAGTTAGGGCTTTATTGATTGTGAACTTCAATGAAGGCTGGACCATTTTTTGAGGACAAGCAGAGTCAGGCTCTTTGGAGTCTTTGGCTGGTATGATTCCCCGGAGAAGACTCTGATCTCTCACCTAGGCACAGGCTGAGAGCTAAATGCTGGCATTCAGTGCAACATTCATTATGTATACAACTTAATCCCCTGCCTTCCACTGTTCAGGTGACCCCCATCCAGAGACGTTTTGTTGTACTCATGAAAATAAACCTTCAGTCATGTGTTTATGTGTAGACAGCAGTCCCCAAATGACATGAAGTTGAGATCTAGCTGCTGCTTAATCATTCTTTCTGTTTTATCCCTACTTCAGGATTACTGGTATAACTCCTTGAGCCCATTGAGTATTGTAATATAAATTGGCTAACTCTTGGGTTTTCTTACATAGCCTTAGATACGGCTTACAGGTGGCCTTTCTGGGTCTGCTTAGTCAGTTACCATTCTCTCAGCCATTTTTCCAGCTTCCTAAATTTTGTTGCTCTTATTTTCTTTCTTGTTGTTCTCCTTATTCTTGTGGTGGGTAAATGCCTTTATTTTTCTCTTACTTTTTCAATTGTGGTAAAATATGTAACACAAAATTTACTATTTTAACCATTTTTGAGTGAACAATTCAGTGGCATTAAGTACATTCACAGTCTTGTATAATCATCACTAATATGTATTTACAGATATTTTTTGTCATCCCAAACAAACTCTATACCATTAAACAATAACTCCTCAGCCCCTGGTAACCTCTATTCTATTTTCTGCCTCTAAGAATTTGCCTATTCTAAATATATAAGTGGAATTATACAATATTTGTCCTTTTGCTCTTAGTGTATTATTTCACTTAGTGTAATGTCTTTAAGGTTCATCCATGTTGTAGCATGTATCAGAACTTCATTCCTTTTTATGGCTGAATAATATTCCATTTTATGTAAATACCACATTTGGTTTATCTATTTCTCTGTCGATGGATACTTAGATTATTTCCACTTTCAGCTATTGTAAATAATGCTGCTGTGAGCATTGGTGTACAAGTATCTGTTTGAGTCCTTCCTTTTAATTCTTTTGGGTATATACCTGAAAGTAGAATTGCTGGGTCATAAGGTAATTCTATTTTTAATCTTTTGAGGATCCACCAAAATGTTTTCCACGGTGACTGCATCATTTTCCCACTAGCAACACACGAGGGTTCCAATTTCTCCATATTTTTGCCAACATTTATTTTCTGTTTTTTTGTTTGTTTGTTTGATAGCCATTCTAGTAGGTGTGAAGTAGTATCTCATTGTGTGTGGTTTTTTTTTTTTCCACATTTCTCTGACTGCTTATTTCCAATGAAATGTTTTCACATTGGTTCATACAAAAACAAGATTTCATAGGTATATACTATAAAATAAGTGTGGCATTAACTTAGATAGCAAAGGAAATTTGAGCTCAGATTTCCTCCACTGCTGTGTGTCCCAGGATGACTTTGCTCTCCTATATTTTAATTTATTCAGGCTACTGTGAATCTTTCTTTCTTTGGCACAGTTGCATTGTAGTTTTGATTTACATTTCTCTAATGTCTAATGATATTGAGCATCTTTTCATGTGTTTATTGACCATTTGCATATCTTCTTTGGAGAAATATCTATTCAAGTCCTTTGCCTGTATTTTTTGGTAGTTGTTGAGTAGTAAAGATTCTTTATATATTCTGAGTATTAATCCCTTATCAAAGATATGACTTGCAGATATTTTCTAGCATTCTGTTGGTTGTCTTTTCACTCTCTTGATATTGTCCTATGATGCAGAAAGTTTTTAACTTTGACAAAGTCCAGTCTGTCTTTTTTTTTTAATTGCCTGTGCTTTTGGAGTCGTGGAGTCCTGGTGACGCAGTGGTTAAGCGTTTGGCTACTAAGCAAAAGGTCGGCAGTTCGAATCCATCAGCTGCTCCTTGGAAACCCAATTGGGCAGTTCTCCTCTGTCCTGTAGGGGCACTATGAGTCGGAATTGACTTGACGGCAACAGGTTTGGGGTTTTTTTTCTTCTGTGTGTGGTGTCATATCTAAGAATCCATTTCTACATTCAAGGTCCTAAAGTTTTCTCCTAAGAATTTTATAGTTTTAGCTCTTAGATTTAGGTCTTTGATCCATTTTGAGTTAATTTTTGTATATTGAATAAGATAAAGGTCCAACTTCATTTTTTTGGCATGTGGATACCGATTTTTTCCCATACCATTTACTGAAAAGGCTATCCTTTCCCCACTGAATAGTTTTAGCATCCTTATCGAAAATCAATTGACCATATGCATGAAGGTTTATTTCTGGGCTCTCTTTTCTATTCCATTGGTCTATATGTCTGTCCTTATGACAGTACCACACTGTTTTATAAGAATTTGAGGATGATTTTTTTTTTTTTTTAAAATATCTGTGAAAAATGTTGTTGGGATTTTGAATAGGGATTGCACTGAATCTGTGTATCACTTTGGGTAAGAGTGTTGTCTTAACAATATTAAGACTTCGACTCTATGAACATAGGATGTCTTTCCATTTATTTAGATCTTCTTTAATTTCTTTCAGCAGTGTTTTGTGGTTTTCAGTGTACAAGTCTTTCACCTCCTTGGTTAAATTTTTCCCTAAGTATTTTATTATTGTTGATGCTATTGTGAATGGAAATTGTCTTTATTTTTTAAATTAAAAAACATCCTAAGTAGATTACAGACGTCATGTCATTCCACATCTACATACTTTATTAACATTCTCATGCATAACCACATAACATTATCACTCCTAACAAAAGTACTAGTAATTTCTTACTCTATCACCCAGTCTATATTCAGGTGTTCCTAGTTGTCCTAAAAATGCAACCTGTTTGTGTAAGCTAGGATCTTATCTATGACCAAGCATTGCATCTGGTTGTTTTGTCTCTTAAGTTTCTCAATCTAGAACAATCCCTTTTTCATGACACTAACCTGGAGAAGAGATCAGGCTAGTTGTCCTAAAGAATTCCATTTACTAAGATTATCTCATAGGTGATATGTGTACTTCATGTTGCAACAGGAGACACACAATATTTGGTTATCCCACCATTACTGATGCTAAGATTAGGCTTCTGTGTGCAGCTTAATTGGACACAGTGACTGTATGACCCCTCCATTGTAAAGTTACATTTTCTCCCTTGTTCCAATCTATGTGGTGTCGTTTTGATACTGTAAGATCCCCTTCCCTATCGTCTATTCGTCTAATGATTTTAACCATTGAATCTGTAATTTCATTAGGAGTGAAAATAAAAATTTTCTAATTCTGGCATTCTTTCTAAATTTATTGACTTACATTCTTATGTAAAATATAGCTTATCCTCATCAACTGGGGCTATTTAGTTGCTGTAATAAAATGCTTAATTCTTTGTCTTTAAGTGTATATTTGGTCGGTTTATTAGCTCCCTTAAATGGGGACGAATTTCTTTTATTTATTTCTTTTATTGTTGTACTTTAAATGAAGTTTACATTTCAAGTTAGTCTCCCACACAAAATTTTTATACATACATTGTTATGTGACCCTAATTGCTCACCCCATTCTGCGACAGCACACTCCTCCTTTCCACCCCTGATTCCCCATAACCATTCAACCAGCTCCTAACCCTCTCTGCCTTCCCATCTCACCTCTGGACAGAAGCTGCCCCTTTGGTCTCTTGTATCTACTTGAGTTAAGAGGCACACTCCTCACGAGTATCACTTTATATCCCAAAGTCCAGTCCAATCCCTGTCTGAAGAGTTGGCCTCGGAAATTGTTTTAATTCTGGGCTGATAGAGAATCCAGGGGCCATGCTTTCTGAGGTTCCTTCGGTCTCAGTCAGACCATAAAGTCTGATCTTCTTACTAGACTTTGAGTTCTGCACCCCATCTTTCTCCTGCTCCAACAGGGACTGTCTGTTGTGTTCTCAAATGGGAACAAATTTCTAACTTTTTTGATATTGATATAGACTCAGATTTTTATAAATACGATGAGTCTCAGTCAACTGACGTAATTAATCTTTTTGATGTTCATATTATCTCAACTTTGTTCATTAAGAGCTCTGGGTAATGCCTTTAAAAAACAATTCTCTAGTTTTAGTGGGATTTTGAGAGGGAGCGAAGTTAGATGTGTGTCCAGGTCATTTTTATGAAGAAGCCTTGTGACATTTCTGATTGTGTTATGCAAAATCACGCACAATCCTGTGTTATGCAAAATCATGCACAAAAAATAACAGGAATTAAGGACACAGTGGTGGTTCAGTGGTAGAATTCTTGGCTTCCATGCAGAACACTCAGGTTCAATTCCTGGCCAGTGTACCTAATGTACAGCCACCACCCGTCTGTCAGTGGAGGCTTGCATGTTGCTATGATGCTGAACAGGTTTTAGTGGAGCTTCCAGACTAAGACAGACTAGGAAGAAAGGCCTGATGATCTACTTCCAAAAATCAGCCAATGGAAACCCTGTGGAGCATAACGACCCAGTCCACAACTGATCATGGAAATGGCATAGGACCAGGCAGCATTTCATTCTTTTGTGCACAGGGTCACTATGAGTTGAGAACCGATCTGATGTCAGCTAACTACTGTCACACTTACCTTGCTCAACCCCTTTTTCAGAAAGGGCAAGAAAAGGCCAGGTTATATTTCTAATGACTATATACTAACATGGAGCCCTAGTGGCGCAGTGGTTAAGTGATATGGCTGCAGTCCACAAGGTTGCCAGTTCAAATCTACCATCCGCTCCTTGGAAACCGTGTTGGGGAAGTTCAGCGCTGTCCTCTAGGGTCACTATGGGTCAGAATCAACTCGACAGCAACGGATTTGTTTTTTTTTGTTTTTTTTTTTTAAATCTGCTAAAATACTGGCTTGTTAAGGTTGAAATGTGTTTAAGCAATAAGACTTTTTATATGACACGTAGAACTGCATCTTTGTATTTGGTCATTATTGCTATGTACGCACAAGTGCTTTCTCTATATTCTTTATTATTGGTGAAGACTTTGCTTATGTACTTAAAAAATTGACTTTTTATTTACCAGCCATCTTTTGATTTTCTCCTAGCTTACCTAATAGCCCATGAGATTTTAGATATTGTGTCTTCTGTTGATTCATTCTTTAATTATAATTATGTAACTGATCTATTCTTTAATATTTAACTGTGCAAAACCATACCTTTTTCCAGTTACTCAAGTTCACTGCAGTAATTGAAGCAACTTGTTCACAGTTCGTTGAACACTTTGGCAAAAACTTGGTATAAAGAAATGATAATTTATTTTATTCTTGAGTCTCAATAGTCTCATGTCTACTTCCTTCTGTCTTCCACACTGAACATCAGCTAATGTTGTCCTTTCTGCATGCCCTCATACCTTGTCCATACCTCCATTGTATCCATTATTATACCTAATTTTACATGTTTGTATGTTTCTCCTCACTAGACAAAAAGCCTATTGATGGCAGAACCTTTATCGTAGACCCATACTAGGTCTTTAATAACTTATTGATTGGGACCTTCTGTTAGGAGCATGTAGCATGCAACATAGTATTAGAATCTTTTTTTTTTTTTCCCTAAACTAGTAATTCTTAATTCTTTTAGAAGCTGGATAAGAAATCATCTCCATCCACAGGAAGCCTAGACTCTGCAAGTGAATCAAAAGAAAAATTATTGAAAGGAGAAAGTGCACTGCAGCGAGTCCAGTGTATCCCTGGCAATGCCAGCTGTTGTGACTGTGGTCTGGCAGACCCACGGTGGGCCAGCATCAACCTGGGCATTACCCTGTGTATTGAGTGCTCCGGGATTCACCGGTGGGTAGTCCTGCCCAGGATGAGAGACTTCTTTTGGGCAAACACACATTATGAGTTGTGACCCCTTGGTTAGAGGGCCCTTTCCACTTCCCTTGTTGAACTGCCAATTTCTATCTTTGCACTTTCCATAAAGCGGATAAAGTTCTGGTTTGTGAAGTGCTTTTGAGGACGTTGGTACATCATTTATTATTAACCAGAAGATCTATCTATATTTATATCTGTGTTGAGGCCTATCTTAGAGATGATGTCACAGTGAAAGATAAAAAGAATTTGTGTAAATATGCAAATAGAGCAGAGACTTGATAGTTTCTCGTACTAATGCAGTCTTTTTTTTCCACCTAGGAGTCTTGGGGTTCATTTTTCAAAAGTACGATCTTTAACTTTAGATACCTGGGAACCTGAACTTTTAAAGGTAAATATTTGCATTTAAAAATTTTTATATTTTTACATTAAAAGTCTGAGGATTTTAGACTCTTGGTTTACAAATTTATGAATTTCTCATTTTAACAGTGAACTAACTTGTATTGGAGAGAACATTTGAGGCTATTTTGGCAAATCTGGTGTTTTTTAAATTGCAATGTGCATGTAGCATTCCTAATTGTAACTCAGTTCATCCTCTAAGGAACTCAAACTTTATACATTTTTTTGGTTTCTCAAAAAATATCCTAGCTTCTGTAACTCAATTTTAATCTTTTATATTATATAGATTCTTGTTAACACCATGTGATATATTGCCATAGAAAGCTCCATAATGGATTGGTGTAGCATGGAGGGACCATTGGTTTATTTTAACATAGGACCATTTGCAGACATATATTTGTCAGAGTAGAAGGGTCATCAAACCAAGACGTTCTTTTTTTCCTGTGTCTGAGGATTCGTATCAATGGAAATGTCATAAATAATTTTGGATAAAAATTTGGTTTTTGATAACATTTATAAAATTCCTAACAGTTAATAGTGTACTTCTTTTAATCTCACCGTTTTAGCTTACCATATTGCAGAAAATAGATTAGTTTGAGAATTGTAGTATACTCTGCATATATTTCTTCCTGAAAATTTGTTCTTAATGTGTTTGTATTTTTGTCTCAGTTCATAGATAAACTTACAAGCGTGTCAGTTATGTGAATTAAATTTGCTTTATGGAATTATGATGTAAACATCTAAATGAAAGTGATAAATTATCTTCTAATCTAGAACCTTCTTTAAATAGATTCTACAATATTACGAATGCAAAGGAGAAGGGAATAGAGGGGGTGAGGGGTGGAAATCTAATTTCCACATCAGCCTTGTAAAGATATAAATAATTCAGAGGGTTTAGATTAGAAAAATTGGTTGAGACACATTTGTCTGGTACCTTAAAAAATATAACTGAACCTTAAAAAAATCTCTTGAAATACTTACATGTAAATTATAAAGAAAATAATTTACTTCAGTTCTGAGTTGTTTAAAACTTACCTGTCTGGCCTTAGGTGCTTTCTTCTATTAAGTCACCAGACATTGTGGGTAATATGCAGCATTGTGCTCGTTGTAGTGGGGGGATAGGAAACCAGTAGAAGATGGATTCCATACCCTGAAGGAGCTTAAAGTCAAAACCAAAAACCAAACCCGCTGCCGTCGAGTCGATTCCGACTCATATCGACCCTAAAGCTAGGGGAAATTATGTAAATAGGAATAAAGAAGTTAGATAAGAGGTATAAGTGCCTAATATTTTAGTTTAAATTTAAATTAAGAGGTGTTAGTACAGAGGGTGCTTAGCAAAAGATGGAAGTAGTCTGGGTCAAACCTTGAAGGATTAAATTTCTAGAGGAAAGTGAAATTATCCTTCAGGTAGATAAGATGAGTTACACAGCCAGATGAGTAAAATTCAATTTCACAGGAAAAGTGGAAGTCAGAATGGCATTGTGGAGGGTCCAGAGTGCCACAGTGCTGGGTTTAGGTTTGATCTGATATTTCTTTATTCTGAAATTTTAGGGGAGAAAATAGGGAAATCTTTTTCTTTGGGCAGTTATGTATAGGAAAAGAGGAGTAATTGGAGGCAATTGAGGTGAGGTTTGCAAACCTTTCATTATTATTTTAATTAGAACAACACATTTATCAAAGAAAAGCTTTAAAATAACAGGTATTGCAAAAGGAAAAAACAAAAGCAAAAGACAGTAACCACATATGATCCTACCCCAGATATAACTGTTAATATTTTCCCAAATATTTTTACAGATTTTATTCTCTTCCTTTATTATTTATTTAAAATTTTTAAAAAATTATAAATTAATAATATGCATGACTAAAATTTTGGAAAATCAGTAAAAATTACCATAATCTTTTCTTCTTAATAGAATTTGTTTTGGGTGAAATTCACTCATATTTTTATAAGAATAGTTTATATATTTGTAATCATAGTATATGTGCGGCTTTATTTAGCATATAGTATAAAATATGTACCTAACTCTTGCTGTTTTTTCCAAATTCTTAACCAGCTTTCCCAGCAGCAATTATTGAACAGTCCTTTCCTTTCCCATCATTGCGTTATTTCTCTTTGCCCTACATTAAATTCTTGTAAACAGGGTTGATTTTTGTGTTATCATTTCTCATCCAGTGGTGGATCTTTTGTCCAATAGTACCAGTGCAGGGGTTTTTTTTTGTTTTGTTTTTGTTTTTATTAAGGCTGCTATATAATAATTGGAAACCCTGGTGGTGCAGTGGTTAAAAGCTATGGCTGCTAACCAAAAGGTCGGCGGTTCGAATCCACCAGGTACTCCTTGGAAACCCTATGGGGCAGTTCCACTCTGTCCTGTAGGGTCGCTGTGAGTTGGAATCAACTCGCCGGCAACGGGTTTGGGTTTTTT